AATAATCAAAAGCATAAACATGATTTTAAACCATTCAACGCACACTAAAATTTACATATTTTTTTAAATTAAAAAAAAAAAAAAATTGTTTTTTGATCTGCCCTCGTCACATTTTGATAAACTGTCTTTGGATGGGTTATATGAAAACTTATTCACTTAATGTTGAAAAGTTATTAAATCAGTAGCCTTAGCTGCAGCACTAAATACAACAACAACAACCACAAATGCTACCAGCAGCAGCAACCAACAGCATCGACAGCAGCCCTAACTTCCATGAGGCCCGCCCGCTTTTCGTGCTGTTGATTGAATGGCTTTTGTTGCCAACTGGTTTATGATTATGAATGTATTACCAAAAAAAAAAAAAAAAACAGAAAAAAAAGATTTTGTTTTTGTAATTCATTAGCAGAGATATATAGCCCAAGCTAGGGCGATGTTGTTGTTGTTGTGGTGCCCCTTTGCCAGCTGATGCCAAGCGGAAGATAAACGACGAACAGCCAACAGCAGCAGCGGCAGCAGCGGCAGCCGCAGCAGCATCGGCATCGGCATCAAGTCGAATATGTCGCAAGCGGCAACAATTGAGCAATTTTCATTCAAGATTTTAATCGGCATTCAAAACGATTTTAATTAAATTTGTACGTTTGGAGCAACTGTTGCAGTTGCAATTTACAATTTGGCCTTTTGACTGCGTACGTTTTGGGCCTGGCTAATTGATTTGCCGTCGTGGAAGTCGTAAACAAATACTATTTATATGTGTTTCTCTATATAAATAGATATACCGCCGAGTTGAGGGTGTGACGTCAGCAGGCAGCGCGGCTCTTGATTTTGTGTTGTGCTCTATGGCCAAGTGCCAAGACAAGCTGCATGTCACGATTCCCGCACAGACAACAGCAGCAGCAGCAGCAGCAGCGGCAGCAACAACAACAACAATCCTATGAAATGCCACTCAACACCTGCGGAAATATTCGCACAAGTGACTGCTGACGCGCTGCCTTTTAACTGGGCTTATACACTCACAGACACAAGCAAACACACACACACTCACAAATAGATATAGATAGATACTCATGCATATTCGCATTTGTTTGTTTGCTTCAGTCAGTCAGTCACTCACTCAATCGCACATTTGTTCATTCATTGATTCGTGCACTCGAGCAAACGAAAACAACAACAACAACAGCAGCAAGCAGAAGAGGTTTGAATACAATAGAAAAAAAGGTGAAATGGTTGTTTGAAGCTGACGCAGTAAATCAATTCAAAATGCCATGCCAATCGAAGTAATCCTGGTCAAATGTTAAAGCAACCAACTCAGCCAAGAGATGCAGCTACAACTTATAAATAACGTATTATAACAATAAACTTAACAGACAGCAAATATGTATTATTATGTGTATATGTATGTAAATGTGTTTGTATTGCAGTTGCCTAGCTTAGCTGAACGAAGTCTGAATGCTCTATTTGGTAGAGATTGATTAAGAAATTGTGATAGATACAGAGATACCTAGATATACAGATATACAGATATATACAGATACAGCTACAAATACAGATACAGATACAGATACAGATACAGATACAGATACAGATACAGATACAGATACAGATACAGATACAGATACAGATACAGATACAGATACAGATGTAAATGTTTCCTAATATATTTAATAAACCAACAAATATCAATTGCTTCTCTCCAGCTAATATATACATGTATGCATGTATATGTATATATTATATGCATACCAGCGTATTTTCAAGTTATTAGTTTGCTCTACCAACTTCCTTGCTTGCCAACTCCCTTTAGAATTTCATTGGATTCCGTTCGATCTGCTTTCACCTTTCTATCTCTGTCTGCCAGAGTATTTGCCTTTCTTTCCCCTTCCGCTCAAGCTCACTTAACTGCATGCAATTTGCCTGGCCGACGTTTATGTCGGTTTCCATATTGGTTTTTACTTTATAATACAGATTTCACGTTAGCTGGTTGTTACTACTAACTTCTATTTTTCTGCACCCATTTACCTTCTATAGCCTGTGCCTCCTTTCCCCCTTGTGCATTTACCCCGACCCCTTTGCTGTCTTTCAATGTTTCAGTAGCAGTTTTCGAAATAAACACTGCCAAAAGTGCTTCATGTTTGTTTCGAGTTGGCATTGTTGTGATTTCTTGTTGTTACTTGTTTGTGTGTGGGTGTAGCTACGTGTGTGTGTGCGTATTTGTGGGCTAGTGTCAGTTTGTGGGCGTCGCTTACCAAAAGGGCAAGCGTAGTTGCTCAATTTTACTGACAAATAGACAGCCCAAGTGTTCAAGTATTTTATGTAGTTGGTCTTAGATACCCTGTACTTGTTGAGATTTGATTGAATTAGTATTTTTGGTGAGGCCTATGATATGTTGAGAGTGCTTAAGCAGATCTTTGCCAAGTTCATTTGCATAGCCTACAGATTTTCTGTGCAACTAGTTATAGGGTATCTTTCAGTATTCCGTACTTTTTACTCATATACCATTTTAGTACTGCATTTGAATATGATAATTGCGTATGTCAATTTTTGGCAGGCTGATTATATTGAGTAGTTCAGCATAGGCCAAAGCTGACAACTTAATTATGGCCCCTCGAATTGAATTCAAATTAAAATTGAAATTGAAATTGAAGCGCTTTAATGCAATGTCAAGTCAAAAGTCTTTATTCACCTACCTAATATCATATGTCTGTGTGTAATAATTTGGATTGCGGCTAAGCCATTACTATTGCCAATATCATAATGACAACGATGATGACTGTAATGATGATGATTGTGATGATGATGTTGGTATTTATGTTGGTATTTTTGGAGGCAATTTTCTTGGCTTTATTGAAGTTGTTTTAGCTGCACTTTTTGTTATATGTTTATGGATATATAGCAGGAGGTTAGATATTGCATTGCCTTGCACATCGTGGGTGTGTGTCACGCTCCATCAGCCGCCATATTTGGAGGCATTTGTTCTTTAGAGTTTTATATTTGGTCTTTTTTTTTTTTTTTATATTGTGCACCTGGCTTCAGTTCAGTTGCAATGGCTCCGATCGGGCGCCCGTAAATTGCTGAGACCTTATATAGCCAGGCTATTGATTGCCAAGCTACAGTCAAATGACTAAGCAAACGAGTTTTTTCACCATTCGAAATACAATAATGCATCGAAGTGAACAATAGAAGTTGTCTAACGTTTGGGGAAACACTGAAACGCTGAAACTTTGATTGATGTTAATTGAACAATATGGCTTAGAATTTTTAAAGGATTTATATGTACGGCAGAGTAAAACAAACAAAGAGATAAATATGAAAAATATTTATGGAAATTGTTCTGAAAAATGTTAGGGTTATGATAAAATACACACTGTATAGCAGAAATTGATTTTCAATGGAAAAGTCAGATTGCAGAGTTTAATTGCTATATAATTGGATTGATCTACTTTTGAAACATTTAAAATAGTTTTAAATACTTTAGTAAATCTAGTGTAGAAGAAAAAAGAAATAAA